AGGCAGCTGCTGCAGCAGCCCAGGCAGCATCCGTTCAAGAAACCGAGTAGTTCATGCAATTTTTTGTAATTTTTGCGTACTTGCATTGTTAGTGTATTATGGGAAATGTTTGTGATAAAAAATTCCAAACGGAAAAAAATGTAAAAAATGGGCAAGTAGAAGTGGAATAGGTGATTTTGGGTAAATGCCGTCCTAAAACTGAGTAAAATGATCTTTTGCTATGATTTAAAACATTATACACCTCAGACTAGTTGTAATTGACATGTTATGATAGATAAATAGCTCATTATACAAGAAATGTAGAAAACGGGCAAAGTAGTAGTGAAATAGGCGTTTTCGGGTAAAACCCGTCCTAAAACTTAGTACAATGCTAATTTCCTATGATTTCAAACATTAGAAACCTAATACTAGTTATAATTGACATGTTATGATAAATAAATTGCTCATTAGGTAAGAAATGTAGAAACCGGGCAAAGTTGTAGTGAAATAGGCGATTTTTGGTAAAAGTCGTCCTAAAACTTAGTAGAATGCTAATTAGCAATGATTTCAAACATTACACACCTAAGACTAGTTGTAATTGACATGTTATGATAGATAAATAGCTCATTAGATAAGAAATGTAGAAAACGGGCAAAGTAGTAGTGAAATAGGCAATTTCGGGTAAAAGCCGTCCTAAAACTTAGTACAATGCAAATTTGCTATGATTTCAAACATTAGACACCTAAGACTAGTTATAATTGACATGTTACGATAAAGAAATTTCTCATTAGGTAAGAAATGTAGAAACCGGGCAAAGTAGTAGTGAAATAGGCGATTTTTGGTAAAAAGTCGTCCTAAAACTTAGTAGAATGCTAATTTGCAATGATTTCAAACATTAGAAACCTAAGGCTAGTTGTATTTGACATGTTATGATAGATAAATAGCTCATTAGATAAGAAATGTAGAAAACGGGCAAAGTAGTAGTGAAATAGGCGATTTCGGGTAAAAGCCGTCCTAAAACTTAGTAGAATGCTAATTTCCTATGATTTCAAACATTAGACACCTCAGACTAGTTATAATTGACATGTTATGATAAAGAAATTGCTCATTAGATAAGAAATGTAGAAAACGGGCAAAGTAGTAGTGAAATAGGCGATTTTTGGTAAAAGCCGTCCTAAAACTTAGAATAATGCTAATTTGCTATGATTTTAAACATTAGACACTTAAGACTAGTTGTAATTGACATGTTATGATAGATAAATAGCTCATTAGATAAGAAATGTAGAAAACGGGCAAAGTAGTAGTGAAATAGGCGATTTTTGGTAAAAGTTGTCCTAAAACTTAGAAGAATGCTAATTTGCTATGATTTCAAACATTAGACACCTAAGACTAGTTTTAATTGACATTTTATTATAGATAAATAGCTCATTAGATAAGAAATGTAGAAAACGGGCAAAGTAGTAGGTAAATAGGCGATTTTTGGTAAAAGCCGTCCTAAATCTTAGAAGATTGCTAATTTGCTATGACTTCAAACATTAGACACCTAAGACTAGTCGTAATTGACATGTTATGATAGATAAATAGCTCATTAGATAAGAAATGTAGAAAACGGGCAAAGTAGTAGTGAAATAGGCGATTTCGAGTAAAAGCCGTCCTAAAACTTAGTAGAATGCTAATTTCCTATGATTTAAAACATTAGACACCTAAGACTAGTTATAATTGACATGTTATGATAAATAAATTGCTCATTAGATAAGAAATGTAGAAATCGGGCAAGTTAGAAGTCAAATAGGCGATTTTTGGTAAAAGCCTTCCTAAACCTTAGTAGAATGCTAACTTGTTATGATTTCAAACATTAGACACCTAAGACTAGTTATAATTGCCATGTTATGATAAATAAATAGCTCATTAGATAAGAAATGTAGAAACCGGGCAAAGTAGTAGTGAAATAGGCGATTTTGGGTAAAAGTCGTCCTAAAACTTAGTTGAATGCTAAATCGGGCAAGTTAGAATGATGTTTGAAATATTTAACATATATACACTATTATTTTTTCATTATTAGTTTTAATTTTATGTAATATATGAATGATGTTTAATGTTTGGTATTTTTTTTTTCTTTTCAAAGGTTTGTAAGATTCAAAGGGACGACCCTTTGACAAAGGAAGAAGTTCATGAAATTCACGACTGGTGGGCTTTTTTGTGACATTTGATGGCATCTAGGTAGAATATATAATATATATGTGTTAGTTAGATAATGACTTAGATTGAGTTTTTTTTTTATGAACAATTAATATTTAGTTACCGTATCTTTTTTATTTTTAGTAAATCCATATGTACATTATATTACTTATTTGTAATTAGTACTATACATTATTTATGAGTTTTATATATGTTATTATTATTATTATGCATTTTATTGTTATTAAATTATTATTATTCCAATGTAATATTTTTAATTAGTTATTATTAATTATTAATATTAATTAATGATATTAATTAATCATAATATTAATAATAATAATAATTTTTAAAATATTGGATTAATGTGCATATCAAAACAGGTCACTAATAATATTATTATTATTAATTATTATATATATTAAAATAAAAAATAAAAATAAAAATAAAAAATTGCAAATGGGAAGCGGTTTGGCGCCAAAACAACTTGCCATTTGCACTGCACATAATGTTATGTGAAGTGCAAATGGCAAGCGGTTTTGGCGCTAAACCGCTTGCCATTCCCCCCAAATCGGAAGCGGTTCTGAACCCATGCGGTTCAGTATCGCTTCCCATTTGGGGGTTTGAACCGCTTCCCATAACGTTTTTTTTACTAGTGTATCCTCCAGTATGACAATTTTTATCTGATTTTAAGAAAACGCGTAATTTTCCATATCAGCGCCAAACGCCAGCTGTAGCGCCTGGCGCCAGCATTGGCGCCTGGCGCTACCGTTGGCGCCTGGCACCAACAGCCAGCATTGGCGCTGGTTCTGTTTTCTGGGCGCCAATGCTCTGTTTTGATAATTTTATCTTTTTGGCTGATTTTCTCTATAAATAACGTCGTAAAAACTCCGTTTTCATTCACCTACAACGAGTTTTCATTCTCTTCTAATCATTCATCATCTCTTTCTCTCTCTTTTTTTCTTAACTAGCTTTTTACATACAAAATTCCGCATTCATTAGATATAGAAACACCTAGCCATATTCGAAGTTGCCTTCGCCCTAGACGTGAAAGGTTTAATTTCTGAGGGTTTGGTCCCCAAATCTCTATTTCTATTATTTAATTTATTTGTTTTGTTATTATTTTCCTTAAAGTTACTAACGTGTGTATTTTGTTATTAGAAAGAGGTACGAGGCATCAAAGTAAGTACTCTAATGGTTTTTATTGATATTATGATGTAGAAATCATGTTTAGATTGTTATTATGATTCCTAGTATCATGTCTAGGGTATTTTTTATGCTAAATATGATTGTTACGATGCTTCCTATGTTCTTCCTAATATTTATGGTTGTTAGTATCATGTTAGGGTTAAAGATTTGATTTTTAATGCTTAGTGACATGCTAGGGTTTGTTATTAATCTTGTTAGTATCATGTCTAGGATCTTTCTATGCTTTGACATGATGATTATTATTATGATTATTATTATAATTATTATTATGATTATACTTTATGATTTTATGATTATAATTATTATAATTATTGTGATGATTATTTTTAATTATGATTGTTATGATTATGATAATTATTTTTATTTATTATGTTGCTTGATTATTTATTTTTATTGCTTGATCACGCCTTTTATGCATGTTTAAAGGGAATTTGTACTTGTAATCATGCTTAATAAGATATTTAATAATCTTGTTTAGGTTAATTTGATTATAATTCAAGTGATCGCCAATAATAGATTTATTTGTGCATTAATATTCAACCAACATAGATAAACAGGTTTAGGGTTAATCCTATTGATTGCATGTTAGTCAAGAAGCGCACATGAATACGATCTGAATAAAGTAGAGGCCTATTATTAGGGCAGGTTCAATCTCTTTTAGGTTGGATTTGTACCTTCATCCCCGAACCCTTATTTGGTTCAAGACCTTATGGAGTTGACGATCTCTTGGATCGTTAAGGGGTGTAACTTTCACCCTGTGAACGGTTTACAAGTTCCTAAAACTTGTTGGCGACTCTTTTGCTCTATTTTCTTTCCCTTTTGACGCCACCGTACTTTAGAGTATGATCACAGTGGGGTTCAAGCTAGGGGTTAACGCTTGAAATTATTCCCTACAGTAACGTACAGACAATTCCTATGCCTGTTAACCGTCCAGATTTCGCATACAGGCCTACAGATTCGAAATTGTATGAAGTTAAGTGGAATGTCTCAAGTGTTGAGAATTCTTGGACCTTGTATCCTAGAGGTTTTCGGTTGATTCTTGCAGAGTTCCAGCGCGCTCAGTGTTCCTCTGATGTTGTGGATGGTTATTATGATTGGTTCACTTACGTGTCACATATCTTTGTTGTTCCAGAAATGGATGCGGTGTTTCCATCAGTTTCTGATAGGACACTCCCAGTTTATGTAAGTTAATATGATTTTACTTTAATTTTAAGTTATCATATATCTCAAGTTTTGGTACTTATTAATATCTCATTTGTAGTGGATGGGACGGATTGCTCAGGCCATTGAGGGTTGCGTCGACTGCCAGCCACGTGTTGCTGATGTGCTGAAAGAATGGGATGAGTATGCTGGATGATTATGTTTTATTGATGCACTTTATATTTTGTACCAGACGATTTGCCAATATTTTATGTTTTAGATTTGTTATGTAATTGATGGACTTGACTATGTCACTATACCTTTTAGATACTTTTATGTGCTAGTTTTTATTTGTTTATTTATGTTTTTTGTCTAAATTGGTAAGCAACTTCTACAAATAAGCATATAACATAAGCAATTTCTTCACGTTAAGCATATAAACTACATTAAAAATGTAAGAAATTGATTAAAGTGAATTCTAATGTATCCTCCTCCTAAGATGATGAAGTAGATGCTACTATTAGTTGATCCCAATGTGCCCTCCATTCTTGATAAAGTTGCTCCCAACCAATCACACTTTGATCTCTATACATAAACCATGGATCAACAATAGGAGGTACTAGATAGTTTAGTGATAGATCAAGTCGAACATAATGGCGACCAATGTGTGCAATGTCAATCTCAATCCGAGGTCGATCATCAGTAGACATGGCTCGCAATGGTAGAACTATCATACACGGATACAACTCTCTTCGTGGGCCAACTCCGTAAACCATAACAGCACAATTCCAAAAATTTGCAATTGGGTACAAATCATCAGGCAAGCCCATGTAATGGTTCGCACCACAATGTCCACCATTCCAAGTGATACGATCAATTGCTTGATCCAAGCCTCCGTGATACAAATGTATGTACTCTGGTCGATTGGCCTTAACCTCGTTTACAATTAAATACCGAGCTTGTATCCAATTGTCTTGCCCACCTAATAAAAAATTAAACAACAAAATTTTAAGTAAAATCATTGGAATATAATGTGACACTTACTTTATGCAAAGGCTTACCTAAGAAAAAGTCTGCAACATATTGAAATCCACACTTTCCGTCACCCATTACATTGTTCCAATCCTCCACAAATGGTTTGATGATATCGGGAAGCCCATAAAGGTAAGAAAAATCTGAAATGTCTCTTGCTCCTGATGAATAACGAATTATTATTTTTGTAGTTAACATAGACATCAAAGTATAGTAAAATAAACAAAAAATTACAAAAACATAGAGTACACTTACCTCGACCTCCACTACGACCACCATCACCGCGTCCCCCATTACGACCACGACGCCCACGAGTACCACGTGTATACTCCCATGCACTATGATTACGTCGTGTACTATTTGATTGTGGTCTCCTTCTAGTAGTTGTGTTCCTAGGCGGTTCATTAACATCAAATTGATCGGAATAGAGATGTTCATCTATTAGGCGAGATACAGAACGCATGATTGCCGGGTCACTTCTACTCACCTCACGCACAGGATTCTCAAAAAATTGACTGTCCTGTGACTGATGATCGGGGTCATCCAATGGAGTCGGAACACAACCATCCTCACCAATCACTAGTGTCCTATAAAAGTGGTGCACTTGGTCTAAGTAGAAGTATGTCCCCGAATCAATGGAACGACGTATATCACATGCACAAGGAATCAGATGAGTCGTCTTATAAACACATCCACACCGAACATTCACCTCATGACTTAACTCTCTCATTTGTTTCTTCTCATTCACCAAAAACAACATACAATGGTGGGAGATACGTGCATTAAGATGTTGTTATGGCATAACATCATATATCCGCCCATGACTGCGTCGACTGCGCTAAAGTGATTGCTTAATCTGTGTGACCTGATCTTCAATTTCCTTGTTTACCTTGGCCCATACAGAATCGAGAGAACCAGTTGAAGTTTCCAACCACCCCTTCAAAGATGAATTTTCACTTTCCACTCTACAATTAGTGACATTGCCGAAGTGAAGCACACCATTGGTCCATAATTTAACAAATTTCTCCTTATGATTGTTTAACCAAGTGTCCTTCACATAATGAATCACAGCAGGAAATGCTACATAAGATTCCGCCATTTTTTGAACTGCTCTATTATAATCATCCAATGTGGTGGCATTGAGAATTGGATTCCATCTTGTCAACCTGAAAATTTTGCCTGGATCTTTATTATTCGTTATTTTCTTAACTCTATGCTCTACATCGTTGTTAATATGACATGTGCATAGTAAATGAGCAGTGTCAGGAAATATTTCCCGAATAGACGACATCAAACCCAACTCACAATTGGTTATAATAGCCGTAGGCAATACATCACTACCAACCAGCAACTTTAACTTATCTATCACCCATGCATAGCTCAAAGCGCTCTCATCCTTCATAAAAGCATACCCGATCAAGAAATTCATGTTGCAAGGAGTAACATCAACGAGCTCCAAAAAAGGCGTTTTGTATTTGTTTGTCTTGTAAGTTGAATCAATGCCAATGACCCACAGATACGTGCGTAAGAGCGCTAGAGACGTAGGATGTTCCATAAATACATGGGTCAAAACATTCGTATCTGGGTCAACCAAGATCCAATGTGTATACTGCGACTCGATACCAAGTTCAAGGAAATATGTAACAACAACTCGACCATCAGCATCTTTAAGTCTCAACCGATCCCTAAAGTTGTAAATATGTCTATGATTGGATGATCATCAGGAAACTGATTCCGCACAGCCGCTAAGATATTTTGTGGCTTCACTTTTGCATCAGTCAGGTCACGAACAAGTTGCTTCGCACCTGGACTAAGCTTGCTCATTTGTCGATTGCCTTCTTCATAGACAATTAGCTCATGGTTGTGTTTTCCATATGCATCGGGATCCAAGACAATCTGCCATCCTTCATCATTAGAAACTTTATAACCCTTGATAAAAAACTGCAACCGCAATGTTAAGTTTTTGTGTTCGGCCGTTGAGCAACACTAAGATCTGTATTTTTCCCTCTATCTCTTGCACCACGATTGCATCTCAAATACAACCATCCGTTATGGTTGTAAGAAATCACAAGTTGAAATTTGAGTGTTAGTGCAATGTCTTTCGCCCATTGTGACAACTCTCGATACGTTGGAAATAATTGATCGGTCTGAAAATGTGGGTAATAATTTACCCCATCACCGCCAAAATCTTCAATGGGATCCTATTAGAAAGAAAAATACAAAGTTAATTAAAATAAAATTTAACTACAAATTAAATTAAATTCAATTGAAAACAAAAATAATTTTTTTTTGGCAAATTAAACTACTAATTTTTTTAAGCCATAAATTTACTAATTAAATTAAGTGTATTTTGTTATTTTTAATAATTATCAAAAATTAATTAACATAAATTACACGGATTGCTTTAAAAAAAAAAAAGTTCCTGGTCGCATGTTATATGCGACTATACCATGGTGTAGTCGCATGCTATATGCGACTACACCGTGGTATAGTCGCATATAACATGCGACCGGGCACAATGGAAATCAAAAAAAAAAGTCCGACATAAACCTGACTCAACGGCGTCGACGGTTCATCGTCCCCACCAAGTGCCTCCGATATGAACACCGACCGTCGTCGACTCATTTTATATCTCGTGGGTGGTCAAGATAAAGTCGTGGTGTATGATGGTCAAGGTGGAGTCGTGGTGGTGGACCAGTCAAGGTGGAGTCGTGGTGGTGGACCAGTCAAGGTGAGTGATGGTATGGGTGGTGGAGCTAATGGTGAAGGTGGAGCAAAGACAAAGTTAGTAATGGTTGGATTGTTATGTAATTTTTAAAATTGTAAGGGGCATGAAAGTCATTTAATACTATAACTTGAGTAATTTCATTGTGGCAAATAGCAATTCACTTCAAATATCCTCACAATTTTACAATACATTTTTTTTTATCTAGATTTGCTTTCACATGGTTCATTGTCTACACAGTCTTGTTTAGTTAGATATGTGCGCTAAAGTAATACTTCTATTAATTAATTTAGTTTTTATAGGGAGGTAGTAGTAGTATAGTTCATATTTTTTTCTTTGTTTAATGATTAATTTTAGTAAAATAAATTGACCTATGTAAGAATTAAATTAATTTTCCTTTCAATCTATGGCCAATAATATTGGGCTAAAATTACCATATAAGAGCAATAAAGTTAGTGCTCATACTCTGCGGCCCTAAAAAGTAGTTGGTGGTGGTGTTTGTTGATAGAGGTTATACCTCACCGTTTCTCCACAAGTTGATCGACAACAAACAAAGGCAAAAGTGGGTGCATACTCGATATCATCATTTAAAGCATGCCAAAAAAAAAAAAAAAAAAAAAAAAAAAAAAAAAAAAAAAATTATAACCTCCTACTACAAATTTGTTCCACAAAAGGCAAGAATATTGTGCCAAATGAGTCCAGTCAATATCGACTGGGAGGATCTCAATTGAGGCTCTTTTAAGGACCCAACCATCCCTAAATTTTCTTTTTTTGAGCTATTATAAAGAATATACAGAGTACCATATATAATGCACGTATAAAGTGTGGTAGGCTGGTAGCATATCGGTTATGTATTTATGTATTTTTGGTCCAACATTCGTCATTGAATATGCAGCTTATTAATTTAACAGAAATTGAAGAATTGTACAAGTAGCATCAAAATTAGAGGGGGGATTTTTCTGACTAAATTTATATAGTTACAATTTTCAAGATAAATCCAAAATTCGAAGATGATACTTAGATTTGAAATTGTCTGCAGTGATAATTTACAAAAAATGATCTCCTGCACGAGATTCTTTAGTCTATGGAAATTAGTCCTCGTCATCGTCCTCCCCTCGATCCACCAGGCCAATACACTATCCATCAGTCTTGTCTAGACCCTATGCTCGAAAGTTCAATACTAGTATCATCTTGCTAGATCACATTGTTGGCTGTATTCTAGCTGCCCACCTCCCAGCACATTTTCGATGCCACTCCTTCGTGGCTCGGAATATAATCCTATAACAGAAAGTTAAATTACAACAATCAGATAAAACATACTTGATTTCAGAGTACTGATCCTGTTTTAACTGAAGAAATTAACCCTGTAAAATTGTGAAGATCGTTTTAGTTCCAGCACAAATTAGGCTGTTACCTCCAATTTCTTGACTAATTCTTCAGCTGTTGGAGCAGATACGATTATATGACGCGCACTTGGGCTAATGAACCCTTCTTCCACAGCTTGATCAATAAAAGTTAGAAGTGAATTATAGTATCCATCCACATTAAGTAATCCAACCTGCAGACATTCAGAAAATTTCGCGAATAGTCAGTAACAGAATGAGGCCTAGCCACGGCTGCAAGTGACTAGAAATGCAGCATTATCTTCACAATTTTTCTAGTAATATTACCGGTTTGTCATGAATGCCGAGTTGAGCCCAAGTTATCACCTCTAGTAACTCTTCTAGTGTTCCATAACCACCTGTAAATGATGCAATCGTTGAAACAATTTTTAGTACACTAACCATAAGGCCTATTACTAACAATCACAAAGCTAAAGGTATATTAAGGTAACCCAAGTCCGGCTTATTAAGGGCATGTGTATTTGTTCAAACTGTGTTAGTCGGCTGACTTGTTAGCTCAACTTTCAATTTATTCTTGAATTAAGTAAATGATTTATGTCAAGTACAGTGATTCAACACAGATTCTCTAACAATTGTACTCCTAGGAAGAGTTAGATGAGGAGATAATAGTAAGAAAGAAGAGTACAGTAAAAAAAGACTGACTGGTCCCCAGAAAGTCCTGCAATCAACAGTTTTACAAAACTCCAACTGGGATAAGTTTTGGAAAAGTGGGAGCATAATTGCGTGCATGTCAGGGTATAGATGCAAATGAAAACCGTATACTTGTATTATAAAAATAGCTACACATAACCTAATGTTTGCTACCATTTAAGGGCGAGGCAAACTTTGTCACAGTAACATGGTTCAAGAGTATATATTGACTAAAAGAGGAAGATGACTATTATATTATTCAGTGTGAGATGTTGATGGGTCAAAGACATGGGTTTTTAGTTTTAACTGTTTGCTCTCTATTATTTATGGTTCTTGGGCTGTGTGAACCTCACCTTCAATACAAGGGTGTCAACTCGGGAGTTTAGGACAGGTTCGGTGAGATCGGGTCGAGTTGGATCTATTTTTAGACTTGAGCCGTGCTGAATTATTGTGTTCATGTAAGTCAAAACCCGAATCTGATATTTTTCAGGTTGGGCAAAGTTTTTACACTTCTATTTTAATAGATACATTCATGTTTTAATTTTCTCTCTAAACATTTCTTGGTTTTTTATTTATTTATTTATTTATTTTTATTTTTTTTTTGTAATTTACATATTCTTTATCTGGCTTAAAAAGATACCTGTAATTTTTTATGATAACTCGATCTATTGTGTACCCATGTCGGATTATTGACAATGACGATTATATGAATAGTTATCTGAACCAAAACTCATATGTAGACTTGTATTCATATCTAACACATATTTTGAGTTTTTCAATCCGAGTAACAAAGAGTCCTAGTAGTTATATTGCTTGAACCATGTGTAATTAGATAGCATGATTGAAATTATTAATGTGAGACTAGGCATCTTCATTATAGGTAAACATTGTAGCCAACTAGCTAAGGGAAAAAGGTGGTAGTTCCTGAAATGGCAACACTATCTCAAAGATAAGCCCAAATCCTCAAAAAATAGGTTTGGAATCATTAAACAAGTGTAAAAGGCAAATAAAAACACAGCAACAACAAATAGGACTAAAAGAAACAGAGGTGTGCTTGTCATGTAATAACACCTCTATTTTGTGCTAGTCTCTAAAATTATAATGGCTGACTAGGCTACCTAAGAGTGCAACCCATGCATTACGTTAGATGGAAATAACTTTTTCCAAAATTTAATGATATGACCCATCTATACGTCCCACCCTCTATTCTAAAATGTTTCTACAAAAAAGTGTCTGAACGACTGAACGTCCTCTTATTGATTCATAGAGATCAATCACAACACGGGTTAGAGCATACAAAGTCTTAATCAACGACGATTGTTAGGTGAGTGATTGGTTAAAAATGGAAACCTGGTAGTGCAATGAAGGCGTCAGAATGGCGAGCCATCTCTGCTTTTCTTTGATGCATATCTGCCACAGCCTTCACTTCTCCTACAGTTTCACCAGTTATCTGCAAAACCAAAAGAAACAAACAAATAAACTTTTTAAACACAGAAAAATTTTCAATAAACAAACAACATGACTTTTTGAGTGATGAATATTGGAGTCCTAAACAGAAAAGGCAATGATGAGGCCTGCAACCAAGGGTAGACATGACCCAGTTTATTTATTTTTTTTCTTCATTTATATTATATTTTCTTGTTCTGACTTTTAAACTTATCAATGTATAATTTCAGTGCTTTACATATCAAATTACAACAATTAAAAAATACTACTTGTATGATATTGTAAAAGTATAAAATGAGACAAACTCAACAAGATCTAGGTTATGATATTGTTTTGTTACAACTAAAAGATACGGAGTAACATAACAGACATACATATGTTTTTAAAATACCACCTGCGTTTCATATTATGTGCAACGATTAGATATTTTTTCTTTCTATTTTATGTCAAATCGTTGCAAATAATATAAAACGGATGTAATATATTGTTAGAAAGACATCTTAATTTCAGCTATTCCCTGACCACTAATTGATTCCATTACCAATTGAATGTAAACAAAAAGTTCCGATTTCAGAAGAAGCCAAGGAAGAAAAGGCAGAAAGATAACAGTACAATAAACTCCACTGATCACATGATGATAAAAAAAAAAGATACAAGAAAACACCAATGTGATAGTATTGCACCAAACAAGTGGGTAAACAACGGATAAGGCTACCAAGTTTACTACGAAATGTAGTATGCACAAATTATACACGCACAATAATCTAATCTAATCTATTCCGTGGACAGACATATACATACATACATCGTTGCTTCGGAACAAAACAATTGAAACAAAAAACACGACGTACTTGGATACCAGCCTCAAACGACACGATTGTTAAACAAAGTAGTAACGTAGAAGAACAGCAAAGGATTAATTAACTACTAAGACGAGTCTAATTAAAAAAGTAACAAGTATTAAATATAGTCGAAAAGGCTGAATTTAGCAGTGTTATCATAGAAATACAAGTAAGCGAAGAAGTAAAAAAGGTTGTAGACTTTTTGTTGGTAGAACAGGTAGAAGCAGAGGCAAACATACCTCTCGAGGCATGAGCGTCTTGGGAATAACTCTGTAAATAAATAAAATAGACAGAAACATGACAAATTTAGAAAATGTTAATTGATTTGATCAACCAACAAAAAAAAAAAAAAAAAAAAAAAAAAAAAAAAACAGCATGCTTTTTTTTCTTCTACTCATTGTGTTTTTCTTTAATTTAATCTCACTGGTTTGTTCTGTAAACCAAAAAACAATTGGAAAATATAGAAAAATAAAAACAAAAAAATCCAAAGATAAAATACAATGATTAGTGAAAACCGACCCACTTAATTAGTGAGACTTACCCTATAACATGCCGACCTCCACTATGAACAGCTTGAGA